TGTTGCACTTCGGGCATAACACAACCTTCGACCCGCTCACCCTGCATTTCTTCTGGGAATCAGTTAGACTCTCGCCAGCTTGAGGGCAAACTGCCTCGAGCTTCTCTTCAGTCTTCTTGATGGGACCATCAATAGTCTCGATCATCATACATTCAACCGTTTTAGTTGTCTGGAGTTCATTGAGACCTTCAGTAGCCTCCACCATTATGCAGTCATATAGCTCATAATATAAAGCCTCTTCGACTTTCAGAGGATCCGTGTCCACTTGCATTTTGGGCCTTTCGCCGAATTAAAGCCGACTTTCCTTCAAAGCTTTTTGCACCAAGTCCCGAAAAAGAACACATTAAGATGTCTTATGACCAAGGAAATTATGAAATTTACAAAATCCCTTTTTTTCTTTTGTTCTAGAGGGGGATCTTTTGCCCCGGGAAGGACAATAATCTGACCATCTTTAATCTGTTAAGATATTGGTCTACTGACTCTGTAGTCTTTCTTTTGATGTTGGCTAACTCTTTCAGACTAGTTTTTGATTATCCCATGTAAAACTGTTCATGAAACAATCTTTCCAATTGCGCCCAGGTCTGGACAGACTGTGGGGGTAAAGTGGTCAACCAAGTGAATGCATTTTTGGTGAGGGAACTAGGGAAGTATTTTAATTTTAAATCCTCGTTGTTCGCTATGTCGCCAACTTCGGTTTGGTATTTGGCAACATGCTCAAAAGTGGAATCCTTAGTCTCTCCGACAAATTTGGTAAACTTTGGCACTTTCCACCCTATGGGCAACTCTGTTTATAGGAAAAAGTCTGGTAGTGGAGACGTATGCATTGGCTGTCGAAGCCCTAGATTCGCCCCGTTACGAACCATGATTCGTTCTACCATGGCTTCTAAGTTGGGTTCACCAGCCATGGCTTCATGTCGAATCTTCCTGACCACACAGTCGGGGTCCTATTTTCTATGAACTAAAACAACGGGAGGCCTTTGGGCCACCCTAGGTGTGTATTTAGCCTCGTGGGGTTGTTGGTTAATTGTTTCGTCAAAGACTTCGTCTTGTCGAACTGGCGTCTCCGATCGAGGTGGAGGCGTCTGTCGACCTATGGCCCTAGGAGCACCCAAAAAATGACCTATCCGCGTCATCTGAGTCACCAATTATTGGTAACTCTAAGTCAAATCGTGTATTAGTGGCCTTAATATGGTGTCCATTTGTTGGGTCAGCATGTGGACCATTTCGTGGTTCGTCCATTTGTTGCCTCATGACAATGACAGAGCTTGACGTAAAAGTTGGGAACAAAAGTGATGGAACACTAAAACCTAAGGGCCTTGTGACTTGGTTCGTCAAAGGCCCTAAACCTTGATATGGGGAGAATGCTGACAAAGAGCTTTCCCCAAACAGTGGGCCACTACGATGTAGGTTCGACATAAACTCTGTCGGCATCCCAAAGGCCCTAAGGGATGGCATTGTGAAACTACACATATATTATCCCCCATCCCCTGTCACCATGGGCCTAGGTTCAGGTCGACGGGCGTCATGACTGACCCACCTTGAGCAGTCGACACCGCATACACAGTGTCAGTGTTGATGTCAGTTATTTGAGTCACAAACGTATTTCCCTCCGAAGACGGTTCTTCGTTTAGACGAGGTATCACCATCTTACCACTACGCAAATGCATACAACCAAAACCTAGGGTCCCACTGGGTGTGCCAATTTTTTCGCACGCAGTTTTCGCACGAACAACCTCTGACCTCCTAACGCAGGTTTACTTGCGGGACCGGTCAAACGAGTCCCAAAACACTTGGTTTGGGATGTATAGGAAAATGGTGGGATGGTGTCTATTTGAAATAGGTTGGAAACTATTTGTAAGTAAAACTGAAAACTAGATAAATATATGTACAAAGGAGTGAGAAATAACTTATGTAAATGAGTAAAAACAAGGCAAAAACACTTTTAGAATTAATGACATAAATTACTTATAAAAAGGGAAATGTGGACGCAATCGTACATCTTGTAGGAGTGAAAACTCTTTTCTCGTAACGCTTTGGTATTCAGAGTGTTTTTCTTACAGTATTACAAAAACGTGCCCCTAAAATGAAAACATGCATTGCTTTAAATAGGGAAATAAATAATTGTCATGTTGAATCTGGCGATGCCACGTGTTCGCCCACTACTTTTATAACTTCCCACGTCCTTGGATTTCAAATCTATTTTCCGCTCAAATAGTTGTCTCTTTGCATAGAATTTAGTTGACCTAGTTGACCGACACCATCTGGGGTCGACCCAACAATCTTCCTCTTGTCGACGTCGACCCTCTTCATCAATAGTTTACTTAGCCTGTCGACCAATCTCTGTGTCGCTGCTCTCTGGTTGAAACTTCCAGTCAACACCCTGTGAACCCTCTTAGATAATAATTTGGACCTGATGAATCATGCCTTAACAATCAGAGAACCAAAATTTGAAATATGAGCCTCAATTCATTGTCCCAAAACCCTAACTGAGAAATGTATTGGGTTCTGATAATATTCAAACATAAAGCCCTGTGACCTTGCCAAAACCTTGATGACTTGACCCATACACAAATGGCTTGAATTGGCACAAAATCACAGACTTGGAGCTTCAGACACACACCACATAAACTGCATTCCCTGGCCTTGATCATGAAACCAAATTTTCCTGACCAAAATTAGGTCACAACCAGAGGAACTCCCATCCTTATTGCCCACACACTTGACTTGATACCCTTACCTGAATCATGATTCATCCTTGCAGCAACTTGGACTTAGGGAGTAAGAATAAATGAAAGCAACAACATAGTTTTTAGATTTTTTGAATAATGGTTAGAGTATGGAGATACAAGTGAAAGTTATATACAAGTAGGAAAATTTTGGAGATACAAGTAAAAAATTAATTGGAGTTAAAAAATATATAATTTATTAACAGATGTATTTAGTTTTAAAATTAGTATAGTTTATCAGCTCGTGGCAACTATTTTTATAAGACTAAATTTTGTAAAAACATTAATTTAAGACAATAAACCATAAAAAAATATATTTAATAACATTGAGAGAAAAAACATCTTACCAACACTCAATGTGAAGACATGTAGAGATAAAATAGTATATGTTTTTGATGTTAAAAGTGTTTTTAGATATATCAATAAAACTTAGTCAAATAAAAACATAGATCTGAATTCGTACATGCAATTAAAATTTATATATATGATAAAATTGTAATAACAATCATAAAAATTCCTACATGCAATTAAAATTCTTCTTAGATTTAAACTCCAATATATCAATAATAACATTTGTCAATTGAAATTCAAATAAACCTTATTATTATTTATATATTTTTACATAAATATTTATAATACAAAAATTTGATCTCATTAACTAAAAATCTTAGATCTATCTCTGCGTATACTATGAGAATTTTGGTAATTAAATATATATATATATATATATATATATATATATATATATATATATATATATATATATATATATATATATATATATATATATATATATATATTGAATCAAACACTAGTCTCGGCGGATATATTATTTTCATGATTCGATACAAATTTAGCAGGTAACCGAAGTCTCTTCTTTTTCTTATTCTTCTTCTACCTCTCGATTACATATTCTTCTTCTCCCTCTAGATTACATGCTACTAACTCAACATGATCATTGACCATTTCTTAACAAGTGCTAACAAAATAATATTTTCCCAAAAAAACAAAGAAATATTATATCCAACTCATTATTCCTAAGGTTTCTGAATAGAGAAAAAGAAAAGTATCAACAACAAACAAAGGCTTTATGGGTCGACCTGTGTCCATAAACACCTATAGTTAAAGGTGTAATAAATTTGTATCTAATAAATAGTTAATCACAAATTTGATGTCCTACTCTTCCATATTATGTGAGCGAGAATTTTTTTTTATAATTTAGTGACTGAAGTTCACTTTTAAATGTGAATTAATGAAATGTCGCGTGTTCAAACTCATGCATTTACCTTTGATGTCCTTAGAAATTTATCAATTAGATTGACTTAAAGGGACGACCAACCAATTCTTTTAATAAAAATTAAACATGCTATAAAATTCGTTTAAATTAGTAAATCTTGATTTGTTTTAGTTTTTTTTAAATGATTTTTTAGTGTTATCAATTTTTGTTAAACAAATTTATAAAAAAAATTCAATAAAAATTATAAATAAAAATTTGATTTGAATAGTTATTTTTAAAATATTATTTTAGATATTTTACCATTTTATTGAAATCTTTTTTAAATATTAAAAATAAAAAAAATCAGTTTAAAGTATAATGTTTTTAAAAAATTGCGACTTTTACTATGTTTTAATCTTTAATAATGTATGTTTATTTTATAAGTAGGGATGTAAATGAGAATTCACAAGGAAGATAGTAGCTCTAGTGGATAAATACAATATTTATATCTGTCTATATCTAAGCGGATATCCCCTAAGCGTGTAATTAGCAGAATTTAAAATAATAATTCATAAATATCTATGTATATTTTTTAATAATATTTTGGAAAATAATACTTTAAACTTCTTTTAAAAGTATAAAAAGTGATTATCACATAATATTCATATAATTTGCTTTCAATTTAACAATAATATTACATTAATTTCCATCTTTTTCACCAAAGCATAATAATATTCATACAGTTTATTTTTAATCAAAACAAATAAAGATATTGTGATTGTCAGTTATAGTAAAAGAGCGGACGATAGAGGAGTAGCGTGAGATAATAGTGCATTTAACATGACTAAAAATCTAAGATATCCATCCAACAAGGTGCGAATCTACATCATCGTACTTATTTTCTCGACAAGTGATTAAACTAAAGAATTAAAAGTATTATATATAATATTTAAGATCGTTGCCGGAACACCAACTTTGACTTGAACTCTTAAACCCAATATTTAAACACAATTGATGCAAACATAACCACAAATAAACCCTTCAGTCTTACCCTACCAATGGCAGAAACAGCAAAAAGGTACATCACAATTTTCCTTATCCTTTCTTTCTTCAACATACTTTATGAATATGCAATTAACCACTAGCTTCACTGTAGGTATGCAGTTGTTACAGGAGCAAACAAAGGAATAGGATTTGCAGTATGCAAACAGTTGGCTTCTAAAGGGCTCACTGTTGTGCTCACAGCAAGAGATCAAAACAGAGGTCTTGAAGCTGTTGAGAAGTTGAAACACCTTTCCCTTCCTGGCCTTGTGCTTTTTCATCAACTTGATGTCTCAGATCCTCCAAGTATAACATCATTTGCAGATTTTATCAAGAATCAATTTGGAAAACTTGATATTTTGGTGAGATCATTCAAATATATATATTTTAAAATTTTACCATTGAAAATTATAAATGTTAGTGGACATGTCCGGCATGGATACAGACACACCATTTTTTAGAGGTGTCAGTGCTACGTAGGTTCTGATTATGTGAGATAGTTTATAATTCATCTTGAATGACCATAAATGTTTGAAACATACTTTGTTTAGGTAAACAATGCTGGAATTCCTGGAGTTCACGTGAACGGTGAGGCTCTGGCTGCTACTAATATTATGGTATGATATATTTTCCCCAAAGTTGATGCATTTTATTTTAATTAATGTAAGATTAATTGAGAACCCTATCCTCGATTTAAACCTGTAGTAGATCGAGATCGAGTGTTTGTCTTGATTCTGAGAAAGATAGTGGTTTGTGGTTTTTGATTCTCTCTTGTTCTTCTCCTCTGATATGCTTTGGTTCTGATCTATAAAGCACGGATACTTCGAACACGATTTAAAAAAAAAAAATGAATAAATTAAATATAATCAGAAGTGTCGGTACAGAAGTCTGACATAGACATGAATACGGTCACACCTGTGCTGCATAGGTTCTGATTATGTGAGATAGTTTATAATTCATGAATGACCATAAATGTTTGAAACATACTTTGTTTAGGTAAATAATGCTGGAATTCCTGGAGTTCACGAGGACGGTGAGGCTGCTAAGATTGTGGTATGATATATTTTCCCCAAAGTTGATGCATTTTATTTTAATTAATATAAGAGTAATTGAGAACCCTATCCTCGATTTAAACCTGTAGTAGATGAGATCGAGTGTTTGTCTTGATTCTGAGAAAGATAGTGGTTTGTGGTTTTTGATTCTCTCTTGTTGTTGTTGTCCTCTGATATGTTGATTGGATAAGTTCACAGAATAACATTACGGAAGTTAATTTACAATTCCAAGTCACGCCATGACATTTGTGTTGATCTTTATCAATCCATTCATAAAATTTAAAGTTCATTTGTTTTTGGTTGCAGGAAAATCTTGGCCAGATTGATTGGAGTAAAATACTAACCGAGAGCTATGAACAAACTGAAGCAGGTATTAAAACAAACTACTATGGAGCAAAGGAATTAACAGAAGCACTTATTCCGCTTCTCCAGCTTTCAAGCTCACCAACAATTGTCAATGTTTCCTCATCCATGGGAAGATTAGAGGTATGCGACAATAATAACTTTTGCTGTACCTAATTTGATAGCTACTATTGGAGATGTTGTTCATTTTCATTCGATTTTGTTTGCAGAATGTTCCGAACGGATGGCCTAAGGAAGTACTGAGTGATGTTGAGAATCTTACTGAAGAAAAAATTGATGAAGTTTTGAACCAATTTCTAAAGGATTTCAAAGAGGGTTCAATAGTAGAAAACAAAGGTTGGCCTATAAATATGTCTACATATGTTATCTCGAAAGCGGCTCTAAGTGCCTACACAAGAGTTCTGGCTAAAAAGTTTCCATCAATATGCATCAATGCTGTTTGTCCTGGCTTTGTGAAAACGGATATAAACTCCAATACAGGTTATTTAACACCGGACGAAGGTGCTGAATCGATTGTGAGATTGGCATTGTCACCGGATGGAAGTCCTTCTGGATGCTTTTTTGTTAGAAGTGAAGAGAAACCATTTTGATCTTAGAGATCAAAATGTGATGGATATTTTAAGGGAAGTTATGAGCTGATGAGAACTACTTTGTATTGAAAATTTTCTACCTGTGTTGTACTAAAGAGAATAAAAGTTCCCTTTGTTTCTGAGGACTCAAACACCAAAATGAATAGAAATTGAGCCATGATGTCCCATTGTTTTAGCCTCTTCTACTATATGAATAGCTCGAAGCTTTAGTCTTGACAAACCAGAAAACAAACAGGGAAGATCTCTGTTAAAGGAAATAGACCTTTTCAAATATCATGCCAAAATAATACTTCAGCTTCCGAGTTTTTTGTGCATAAATTCAGGATCCAATCACCTTCAGTTTCCCTACCCTTTCTCACTCGACATAAATCTTTCAATCACCAAGGAGTATTTAGATCTTGTTGTGAAAGGGATACACATAAAATAGATTATGGTGGGTTTCTCTATCAATAAGAAAGCCACAAGGTGAGAAAAAAAAGAAGAAAAAAAGACAATTCAAAGTGGTATAGAACACTGGATTCTTGAACAATTACACATTAGAAAATAATATTTACAACTAAATCTCAACCACACTACTTGCTCTTTCTATTAAAATTATCTAGAAGTGAGGGCTATTATGTTATTTATAAGAAAACTAAAATCCTAACTTTCAACTAACATATTAAACAATTTGGCTAACATACTGATCAAATTCGACATGCTAACAACCAAACATATTTTTTACAGGTATACTAGCTCTTTGACTTTGACAGAGTTTGTTACAATACTAACTTATAACAAATAAGCTACAAATCTTCACCTTGAAACAAACTCCGAACCATGAAACCAACTAGCTGTCACCATGCAGTTCTATCAGCCGCATACAATGGAAAAACTTGCAACTTGACAATGTTAGTGATCATATCAGCATCATTATTATCAGTCAAAACCTTCAGTACTTGGACTTATCCACTCTCGATTATCTCTCTGACGGAATGCATTCTCACATCGATGTGTTTGGTTCACTCATGATAGGTTGAATTTTTTGACAGGTGTATTGCACTTTAGTTGTCACATTTAATAGTGATTGCTTGACCTTGAAGTTTCAGCTCCTTAGCAAAATCTTCAAGCCACAATGCTTCTTTCACAACTTCAGTGAGGGCAATATATTCCGCTTCAGTGGTTGATAAGACAACAACCTTCTGAAGTGTTGTTTTTCAATTGATTGTTGTGCCAAATATAATGAATACATATCTAGAAATAGATTTTTTGAATCATACAACTTGCATAATCAGAGTCGACAAATCCTTTGATTTCTACTTTGTTATCATCCCCACAGGCTCTACCATAAATTAGGACTCTACTTAGAGATCCATTTATATACCTTAGAATCCACTTCAATGCTTGCCAGTGTGCCTTCCTAGGATTGGCCATATAATTGCTTACAAGACTCACTCTGTACGTTATGTCTAGCCTTGTACATACCATATCATAAATCATAGAACCTACTATTCTAACATATGGAATGATATTCATATAGACTCTTTTCACTTTAGTACTAGGACTTTGAGTCGTACTCAGCTTGAACTGAAGACTAGTTGGTGTTACAACAGACTTTAAATTTGACATACCAAATTTATCAAAAATCTTCTTCAAATATAATCTTGACTGCTTTCTATCTCTCTGGATGTCAATCACAAGAATTCAAGAGGCAGCTCCCAAATCTTTTAGGTCAAACTCCTTATCGAGTTCAACCTTCACTTTCACTACATCCTCGACACGGTTGTTTCCTATGACGATGTCATCCACAAAAAGCAACAAAATAATAAGTGATTTTTGAGGTTGAAATCTGAAGTAAACATAGTGGTCAAACTACCTCCTAGTGACGCCTATGTGTGTCATGAACTTGTCGAATCTCTTATTCCATCGACGATGAGATTATTTCAAGCCGTATAACGACCTATTTAACTTGCACACATAATATTCCTTTCCTTTTTCTACATACCCTTCAGGTTGCGTCATCAGGATCTTTTCATCTAGATTACCATGCAAGAAGACAATCCTCACATCCATATGTTCGAGTTCTAGGTCCAACTTTGTCACCATGTCTAACAACATTCTAAGTGAGTAGTTAAAATGAAAAAATCGTCAAAGTGACCTCTTTTGTGAAAATTGCTGATGAAAAATGTTTAAAAAAATAAAAAAATATGGTTTGTGTGTATTTTTGTCCATGCGAGTATCAATTGACCCAAATGACAGTTGGTGGTTGGCCGATTTTCATAAAACATGTGATAATTATAAGGTCTTACATGTGAATAATAAATCAATCCAAAGAGAGGTTCATTATTCGACATATTTTTATACGTATCAATGTTTGATCATTACAACAAGAGTACAACTAGCAGTCAATTTTACTGTCTAGAGACTTGATATTGATGGTGCACTAAGTATTTTAAGATGATCTGTTTATAATTTAAACATGTTTATGATTAAGTTTTAATTTTTTATGTGAGTATATTTATATTGTTTATTATGTTCTATTTTTCAACTACAATTGCTTCAATACCTGCTAATATGAATAAGGCTTATGTCCTTAATAAGATAAATTTTAAGGATTGAAATGAGAACATGGAAATTGTTCTTGGCTGTATAGATCTTGACCATGCATTAAGGATGAATTAACCATCTTCTCCTACGAGAATATAGTACCTCTAAGAAGAAGAAAAATTATGAGAAATGGGATCGCTTCAATCGCATGAGTTATGGTTTGGTCTATTCTGAGGTCAATATATCTTTAGTACCTGGAAACACTTGGTGGTTAGACTTTGGTGCCACTACTAACATCAGTGTTTCAACCGAAAGTCAAATGATGTTGAAAGATACATCAATGTGGGAGATGGAAAGTCGGCGGAAGTGGAAGCTATAGAGAATTTTAGAGTATTGATGTGTACCAGATTTTATTTGAATTTAAAAGACACTTTTGTGGTTCCGTCATTTAGGCAATTTAATTTCAGTTTCTTATTTGAAAAAATCAGGTTATTTTTGTTCATTTTGAAACAATATGTTCAAGTTGCCTTTCAATTTAGATATTGTTGGAACTGGTTCACTTTTGCGTCATGATAATCTATATTTACTTGACACAATAGTTACCTATGGTGAATCCTTGAATGTGGAATCATGTGGTACTAAGCGTAAAATTGATGATAACAATTCAGGAGCACTATGGCACAAATGCCTAGGTCACATCTCTAAAAATAGAGTTGAGCGACTAGTGTCCGATGGAATTTTGGATTCCATTGACTTCATAAACTTTGATGTTTGTGTTGAGTGCGTTAAAGGTAAATAGACCAAAACAAAGAAATATGTTGCATATATAGCTACAAATGTCTTAAAATTTATACATACGAACATTTGTGGACCATTTCCTACACCTTCTTGAAATTATCAATAACATTTTATATCATTTATAGACGATTACTCTAGATATGCGTACATATTTCTTATACATGAAAAGTTTCAATCATTGAATGTTTTCAAATCATTTAAGGCTGAAGTTGAGAATCAATTCAACAAAAGAATTAAGAAAGTCAAGTCTAACCATGGCGGTGAATATTACCGCAGATATGACGGTTCAGGTGAACAATGTCAATGGCCTTTTACAAAATACCTGGAGGAATATGGAATCGTCCCACAGTACACCATGCTAGGATCACCTAGTATAAACGGTGCTTCTGAAAGAAGAAATCATATTCTTAAAGATATGGTAAGGAGTATGATTTTTCATTCTACCTTGCCAAAGTCACTATGGGGAGAGACACTAAAGATTACAGCTTACATCCTAAATAGAGTACCAACAAAGGTAGATGCCAAAACACCTTACGATATTTGGACTGGGTGAAAGCCTAGTCTAAAAATTATTCATGTGTAGGGATGTCCAGCTGAGGCAAGACCTTCAGGCCAAATGAAAAGAAATATCACTCCCAAACAATGAACAACTACTTTATTGGCTATTCTGAAAGATCTAAGGGCTACAAATTTTATGATTCCAAATTCAATTAAATTTTTGAGATGGGAACAACCACATTCTTTGATGGTATTGAGTTTGGGGGAAGAATAAGGTTAGAAACTTTGTCTTAGAAGAAGAATCAATAACAAATTCCAGAACCAATTCATATATTTGCTTTTGATCAAGAAAGAACGACACCTCCACAAGACATTGTTGAAATTCCTCCAACTCAAGATGATTTGGTAATTCATGAAGAAAAACTTAAGATCCTCAAGAACAAGTGTTACAAGAACCAATATCTTTATGGAGATCCACTAGAGAAAGAAGAAATGTTACTCCGGATGATTACATAGTCTTTCTCCAAGAACATGAGGAAAACAATGGTATGATGGAAGGTGATTTAATCAACTTCCATCAAGCCATGCAAGATTTAAACTCAAAAAAGTGGATTAAAGCAATGACAAAGGAGTATAAGTCAATGCAAGACAATAAAGTTTGGGAACTTGTCCCGTTACCAGAAGGTGTGAAACCCATTGGTTGCAAATGGATTTTTAAGACCAAGTGGGATTCTAACGGTAATGTGGAAAAGTATAAAGCTCGTATTGTGGATAAGGGTTATACTCAAAATGAAGGGATTGACTTTAAAAATATTTTCTTTCTGGTTTATTGAAAGACTCTTTTAGGAAAATCATGGCTCTTGTTGCATATTATGATTTGGAACTTTATAAAATAGATATCAAGATGACTTTCTTCAATGGAAACGTTGATGAAACGATCTATATGGTGTAACCAGAAAACTTTGCGTCGATAGAATCAAAGAATATGATTTGCAAATTAACAAAATCCAATTATGAACTAAAACAGGCATCTCGTCAGTGGTACCACAAGTTTCATGAAGTAATTATATTATTTGGTTTTGAAGTGAATCTTGTTGAAGATTATGTGCATCACAAATTCAGTGGGAGTAAATACATTTTTCTGGTCCTATATGTTGACATATTGCTTGCCGCTAATG